CCTACGTAAAAATAATATTTTGGCTTCCTCTTTAAAAATTGTTGCAAATTTGAATGATGGCAGAAGAGCAGCTTTAAGAGTTAAGATCACTAAACACCATAAAATGAAAGTAATGCAATCTTCGATTGACTGTCGAAAGAAGTGCGCGATTTCTCTGTTTTTGCATAACTTCGCCCTGCTATTGGTCCAAAAAACCAATCAAAGGCTTAATAAAAACCAATCACGACTTGCTCACTCGTGTTTTCGCGCGCTTGAAACTGTTTGCGTATTTTTATTTGAGTTCTCATTGGCTACTCGTAATATTTTTCTTTCATCTGATTGGTCATTGTGATTACTTTGGTTTTGGTTTTATGACACTTAGTCGAAAAGCGCTCTAACAAAGAATTTCTTTTCTCATTTAAATCATGCCTTTCAGCCAAAAGGAGAGACGATTGAAATGGAGTGCATGCTTGCCAACGGTTAGTCGTTTGACTTCAACTAATCTCATTTAATACTGATTCTCATTTGACCAGCTAGTCATTCGTCAATAACGACATCCTTAGTCATGGCCGATCGACGCACTCTTGTGCAATTTAATGAGAAGAGCACTACTTTTCAAAACAAAGACTTTCCTCAGTCTTTTCTATTACTAACATTTTTACTAATACTAATAAGTTCGAAACATCATTTGAACCTACCTACAGTCCTAGTGTCCAGAGACAATTAAAAAAACGTCCGAAAAAGACCCAAGTCACGGATTTCCGTAACTAGAAAATCTTAGCTTAGCTTAGAATTTCGAGTGGTTATTTACAATTTGTGCCAATCCTCTCTGTCCTCAACCATTTTCGTTGTTTTTAGGTTTGTTCTCAGCATTTTTATCTTTTTTGCTTACCCGACCACTATTTCTCGGTGGTTTCCATCAGGCTATGGGTATATTCGCAAGTCTTCAAAAATGAGTCAAACTTTACAAGCATTTTTCAACTGCAAGCTACCCATGTGTCGATCATTAAAATATTTAAATTAGGAAGTATTTAACTAAATAATTTGAACTCTTAACACCTTAACATGTCTCTGAAAGAGCGGGGCAGGGAACAACTCTCATTTTCTTAATCAAAAGTTACTCATCTCCCCATATTTCATTAATTCTGCTCGCATTTTTTGTTTTGAATTTTAACTTATTGATACCGCGAATTGAATTAAAATCCTGAAACAAATAAAATAATAAAGATTGGTAACTATTAGCACTCTCAAGGGACAGGTCTTTTTGCACTCCTGGTACCAGACTGATCTTCTTGCCAAAATTCTGGTTGGCCTAACAATGGGCTTTTTAAATCCCAGTCTCCACTCCGTTGTTTAGCATTTTATGAAAATCATATGATGCTCATTTATCTTAAATTCCGACATTATCGTTCTGTTTTCATTTGATAGGCACTGGAGGACGAGATGGAGACAGAAAACTTTGAGAGTCCATCGCGTTCTTCGACTGGACTTTCCTCCCCTCTCTCCCTACCCATGGTGAGAATAGAAGTGACGTCACCACAGCCAGGTAGTGCCCAGGATCCTGCGGAGGAACCAGCGCCACAAGTAGCGCGCGAAAGACTAATGGTTCTCGATTTCCCGGATGTTATTAAATCGGCGGAAAGTAGTCCTCGGCACTCATTAATACCACTAAGTGAGTTTTACGAGTCGCACCGAAGAACGTTAAATGATCGTCGAACGAGAGAAATAATCAATCAAATCAATGCTGAAGTGGTGCAAGCTATTGACAAAGGGCAAAGTCCGTATTTTATCTATGGAATAATGGATAACGACGAGGAGACCTGGTGCTGAGAGTTCAAAGTTGAATGCATCCGGGTTAGTCATTGAGCACTGAGTTTTTCTGCGTGAAACGCAGCGTGCGTGAAGGAAATAATACGCTAGCTATCAAGCTGACGGTAAATTTCTAGTTCTGAGAAACGTGATCACACAGAGCAGTTTATCCAACATGATGCGAAACAGAAAGTCAGAAACAGAAAGCCAGCACAACTTTTTAAAGAGGAGACAGTTTCCGCTAGGGTTTTATATGTTCTGAGCAATAAAACAATTTCGGAAATCTTTGGTGTTATCACCAATTGTTGAAAATATTACCTCCATTACAATAGAATCAAATTTTGGAAGTTATTAATTTAATTTCTGCTTTTTCATAAGTTAATTTTTATAACTTTATTGTGTATAAAAATATTGCAGGACAAAAGTTTTCCATAAGGAATTTATAAAGTTAAAAGATTACCCATGAATGCATACGCTCGATCATATCTCCAGCTCATTTGCCTAATCTCACGACAGATTTACTAGGGAAACGTTTTGGTTTGATTTTGAAGCTGATGAAACTGTTTTATATCAGTGTTTTTCTTTTCTCTCTAATGCCATGGCAGTCAAGTCTTGTAATCACATTTGTGGTATTTTCATTGAAATAACTTTTTCATTCCCAAGACCGACATATCAACTTCTTGCACTGATGCTGTATATCTCCTATAATTTGGTTTTTCATCATAAACATACCTAGGTTAATACTTGTCTAACTTATTTTCTCGAATATATTTCATGTTTTGAGGAGGAATTCATCTTAAGTTACTCCTGGAATGAAAAGGTTGCAAAACAAATCCATTCCCGTCACTTCCAAAAAGTCCTTTTTGAAATATGCTGTAAATTTTAGCACATATGTAGTCCAATACTCCTTACTTGATAAGTTTCTTTCTTCTCACCACTTGTCAATATTTTGGCATTGTAAGGAGAAATTGCTCATTTGTCACTTTTAGAGTGATCAGGATCACTGACGTAATTTTAACTTTATCGCGTAAGGTATGTTTACTTATTCGCCCGACAAGTCTAACTATTTGAAGACATTTCTGAATACTTGTTTTATTTGTAAAATCGAAACTGAAGACTGTTAGCAATTGCTCTGTATTTCTCTTTTCTTGATCCACCACACGTGACATTTGTCTTCTTCTATACAACATATGCTAAGGCATACACAAGAATAACCGCGTTTTGTAAAACAAATATATTGATATTGAAAATTGATTTTCTATTGAATCGCTGAGTCGCCTATTGTAATAATCACTTAAGCGTGTTTTTTTAGGCTAAGATAACAGAAATATAAGTGAAACATAGTGGCTTGAGTAATACTTTCAAGATGTCGAAGCTTCCTAATAGAGTATCGAAGTATCTTTATCCTTCCTCATACCTTTTTTTATATTCTTGATCCCCTTCCAACTTACGGAAGTAGCATGTATCCTTGACCTTTTTTCCCCTAATTACTCTCATTTTTAGAGATCACAGGAGGACGTAGGAAGAGCCGATCATATGCTGAACATTTTACTGTCACCAACATCTCATGTCGAGTTTTGTCTTTCTTCCACGTAAATCTTCCAGCAACAACGTAATGCAGGCCTATAATTAAGGGGAATTCGATTCTTTTAAAAACACAGACAGGGAAAAAAAAGTGAAGGACACAGATGGAGGCTTAAGGTCAAATCAATAACCTCTTTGTCGATCTGATGTTCTATGTGATAGCAATGTCATAGCAGAAAGCATTTTGATTAGTTTCAACGAGGAATAATTAGAACGGAAATGGTTGAGCCTTCGTTTACGACGAAGAAGTCCAGGGAAACAGATACAAATGGATATTTCTGAGCCGACGCTTTGATTGTTTGTCTCTGTCGCTCATTTTCTCTTGGTGTCTTAGATGATCCTCTCTTGGGTAATGTGAGAAACCACCGCAATTACATGGCACAACACTTTTCAGCGTTTTGTTGATTGTCAAGCCGGTGGCCTGTGACTAACGGTTTTACTTCAGAAAAACAACTTGTCATCTACAGATTTTGGCGCAGACAATTTTTTTTGAAAAGCAGAAAGACGAGTATAAAAGAAGATTTATGAAGAAAGTATTTTTATGGTGAAAACAGTTTCCTTCTCATTTGAATCACATCTTGTCAGTCATTCCTTTGTTCGCTCTATTGTTTTTTCATATATTTTTTAAAATCTTGGAATTGGTTGATTTCCCTGTGATGTTTTGAAATTCTTTAACAATGACGGTTTTGATTAATTAATGGTTACGCACGTGCGGTTTGGTTTATTCCTTTGTAGTGACTGAGTATAGGGCGGTGATTTTATACGCTCCGATTTGTTCGCCGGTCCTTCGTGAAAAGAGATTGTGATAATTTTCATTTGAAGTTTAAGGAGTTGCCAAATACGACTTTTTCGCTTCCGAAATGATTATCATGTTGCCATTTATGATAAGCAGTCTCCAAATGAATTCAACTGATAACATACATCGAAGCTATGATTTGTTCAATTACCAGGATAATGTTCCTTCATGATACAAAAATTACCACCGTTTTCCTTTTTTTGTGAAGTTTACCACATTCCAACGCTTTGAGCTCTGGATATTTTAGGGGTCAGTACCCCTCATAAATTTTCTCCCAGAGTTGACGAAAAACCAGAAAAAATCTTCGCTTGAAACGTTTGTTCGTGACCGTGAAGTCTTTAAAATAAACCGCTAAGTGGGCAGAACGCTCTTCATGAATTTTCCCTGATCGATTATCTAGAAACATGTGCGACGTCGAAACTAATTCTGGTCGGGTAGGAAGGCAACATTTGGCAAAGGTTCTCGCTGAAACATGCCACACCATAGCAGTTCTGTCCGCCGTACGACATCATAGCCAGATCGCAATGTTCGACGTCGCAGCATTTTGCGACACATTCCTTCATGTCTTGAACTTTACCAAGATGTCTAAAATGATCAGGTTTGAGTGAATCATCAGTTTGTTGTTTTTCTGATTCGGTAGGCGTTGAACACTTGTGTTTAGGAACAGAGTTGCAGTCAACCACGAAAACAACTACGCGAAAAATACATGTAGAACCAAATCAGAAAATAAGGGGAGCAAAGCTAAAACACTGAATATGACAACATCAACCTTACCATGAAAAAAAGCAAGAAACGCAAGTGTAGGCTTCAAGATGGTCATATTCTTTATCTGTTTGAAAAATGATTCACGCTCTTAATCAAGCGCTAGAGATGGACACTTTACCCAGCCAGCTATTCATGCGATAATATTGATATCTGGCACGCGTAACACCGCTGTTGCAGGTCACAAGGTTAAGTAAATGTACATGTTGATTGGCTGTTTTTGGTGGCGCGGTACCTGGATACAATTTAGGTACCAAAAGTTTATTGTCAAAGCATTTTTTAAACAAGAATTTTTACTGATGAATAGGTTGTGTTAGTGACCCTTAGCTATCAAACTTTGACAGTCCGTTGCTTTTTTTCCCATAATTCGTTGTAACATATTTTTGAAGAGGCTGACATGGTGACGCCTGCATCCTTAAAAAATAAATGACTACAAGTTAACCCGTCAGCTAATTTATACAAATTGTTATTCAGACTTATTCTGATCACGATACGTAGATTTTTATAAACCATCTAACTGAAGTAAGGCCTTGTTCGATAGGATTCGATAGGTTTCGATAGGGTTCGAACGAGCAAGGAAAAACGGCATTGTGTTACTGACTATAAATCTGTGTATTAAGCCTAACATTGTCTAAATATCCCTCCATAAAATCGCTTGTAAGGTTCACATGAATGTTTGTTTCACAAATGCTCAGTCAAACCATCATGGCTGTACAATTTTTAAAAAATATCCTGGTTGACTTGCCAAGCATCACCCAGACACCGGTGCTTATATGATGTTTTAATTATGCTTGTTCTTGCGGAAACACAAACCAAGATAGTTTTCCACGCCCTGATAGTTAGCGACTGACTTAGTTTAGCTTCCTGTGAATTAAGCCTTCCAACTTGAAGTGAAAGAATGTTTAACGAACGAATTAGATTCCATTATGGTCCTAATAAGATTTCCTTCTTCCACATCGGCGTTCTATTTTACATGGGTAAGTTGATACCAAATTAGTGGTGAAATTCATTACTTGAATGAAGCTCTCGGATTAATCCATAGATGAATATATTTGCACTAAGGGTTTGTTGGATGTTCGCATTCCACACGCGAGCTGAAACAGTGTCTTCCAGTAGCCACGTTCGACGATGCTGTACTTTCGAGACCTCAGAATGCTTCAATAATAAAGCGACAGCTCGGACATTTTAAGAACCTTTCCACATGCGTATCGCACTGCTGCAGGAGTTCCAAATGCGATGTTGCCTTGTTCGACGGCACTTTCTGTTATGGCGTGTTTTGTCCAACGGAAAACGTTTGCCATTTTGAAAAAGCCCGGGAAGGACAGAGGTCATATCAGACCGTGTTGTTAAAAGATATTTTTGCAGGTAAGTGTTGAGATCTGTGACCTGTGATCAGTACGTATTTGTGACAGATCAGTATTTAAGGAACCATTTCAAAATGAAAAAAGATTAAACTGATATAGGGTATCAGTGCACTTACTCTCAACTAACCTGTGGAAAGGCAAAGTACAGCATTATAAGTCCAGAATTTTGTTTGGAAAATTGGCAAAGTTCTTGTCTTGTAATTCTGTTGAGGGTATTAAAAGTTCCTGTTTAAATTATGATCTGTCGAAATGATTTTGAAAACGACCGTAGCAGGTTCATCGCAGTTTGCCTCGTTCGCCCTGTTAGGTATAAAATGAGTCTTCTTTACTAAAACTGCCAGTTTTCAAAGAACTGCTTAATTTTTCTGTGATCGACGGTCGATCATGTCAATGGCAATGTCATTTTTTAAGTGAATTCTTATGAATCATAATATTTAAGTGCTTGGTCCACATGAGCGGGTACCAGCCACACCACTCAATAGCCCTTTAGGTACTGGTTGCCTTCACTTCATTAAAACAGACTGATATTTTATCTAAATGAAATTTTAGAAAAGGGTTATCAGTTACTTAATGGTCAAAACTAAACAAGCTTTAGAAGCTCTGTTAAGGGGCCGTTCCTAAGTAATTTTAGATCGTGCTGAATATACGTGTTAGTGCATGGAAAGGAATATTGACTTGTTCATAATATTATATATTCATAATGATCCCGGCTCCGCATTACAGAGTGTCCCTTGAAAAGCGGTGCTCCACATCCACACAAAAACGTAAAATATGTGGACTATATATGAATATATAATTTTTTTCCAATGATTAAGCACCAAGATGAACCTCCATTTAATCTTCGGAATCACCTTATCCCTCCCCCCGCCCTAAAAGAAGAGTTTCTTCAACGAAGGCAACAAGCTGTCCCAGAGAAAGACCAATGTAATTCTCATATCTCCATTGCATTACTTAGGAGTGGACAGATTCCTAGAGGGAAGAGCTCGACTGGGATCGATACATCCTTCAAATCTCAAATTAAAAAAGCTTCAATTTTCTTTTGAGGAAGGGATGAATAGAAATAAATCAAACATCAAAAGAGGCAAATATAGAAAACAGGGTGCTCATCAATTAAAGCGGATCTTGTCGGCGAAACGAAACATTTTACAAGAAAGGAAAAAGCGTCTTAACGATGATAAATGCCACATTAGACGAATCACAAACAACACCTCCTTGCACTCAGGTATGGATGCTGGGAAATTCAAATTACATGGAAAATCAAAGGGCATTTCAGCTTGTGCGAGGCTGTGTTGTCGAGACCAACTGTGTGATATCGCCGTTATAATGACTGGTCGCTGTTACACTGTGCAATGTTATAGCATGACGGACTGCCAATCAAAACCTTTAGAGAGCAAAGCTACTAATATTGTAATAGCATACGTTTACAATCCCAGGAAAGCGTTCAGCAATGAGAGCAGACGCAGCAGTGAAACTGATCATACCAAGCGAAAAGAAATTAGCAAGAAAACCGTCGTGTCCAATCCTAATGAAGGTAATGATTAATAAATAATACATCATATGACAAAACAGACGATTTATAACTAACCTTAAGTGTCAATTACACTCTTCATGTCTTCTCGTTCCAATAACCCACGAGTTACAAGGGTAAGGAGACCACCCTACCCATCATCGGACAATCACAAGGAAACAGCGAACTCAGATAGTTCACTAAGTCTTAAAGACCGCGTTATCAACTTAAGTTCGAGAGTATGGTGGTCTCCTTCACTGCCCTTCATTGGATGACGGAGATTAATTCAGCACCTGTGTGGAAACATTTAAAAAAAAATTCAATTTTTCCGGTGTATGATAGTCATATCTGCCCACTGTCATTATCCAAGAAAAGCTAAAATAATTATACAAAACCACAATTTCATCTTTCCCTCACCTTTTGAGGGATATAAGCGTGCCCACTCTCTTTGGTTTTGTAATGAAATGCAGAGCGCTTCTCCTTTAAGCAATACTCAACCTATTTGTAGTTGAAAACGAGCAGAGAATTTATACACCCAGGTTCGAATTCTCATTTCAGGTAACATAGGCGATATTCTTGGAAAGATTAGGTTCCTGAACGGTCCATCTACTGTAACATCAGACATGCACTTCAGTTTTCTCCAACAGTGCGCTCTCTATGTTGAACCAGAAAATGTAACAAAGCCTGTTCATGGCTGGGTTACTCCACGATATTCTCCCGTTAAATATCTTTACCAGGCTCCCAGGAGTACACCTCCGCCTCTTGGTATGAGATCTGCCGTGCCTCTTGGAGGAATGGGGACAGGTAAAGTGGTTGAAAAAAGGGAAATATGTTGATCTATTAAGATCTAATGCTATCAAGACACTTGGAGTGTGTTTGGTGCTATCGTCTCCTAGAAGTGATAAGTGGGTCGTAACGTCCATTATCCAGCGGTGATAAGAATAGAAAAAGCCTTTCAGCGAGAAGTTGATATCTTGATGTAACAAAACATATTTTTAAAAAAAACATAGCAACTGGAAGAAAGAATAGCTTTTGTAACTTGGCTTGGCCATCTTAAAAAACTCTAAGAGGTAGAATGGCGCTGCATTGCTTATGGTTTCAGCTTCTTCTTTGTTTCGAAGGATCGTTAGAGCTTAGAGCCGACGGATCATTTCATGAATGGACCCTTGAGAACCAGTCACCAGGTGGATCGGCCAAACTTGGCCCAGGCGCATTGGATAAAACAGTGCTTGGTGTAAGAGTGAGTTCTTCTTTGGGAACAAAAGCCGCCCTCTTGAGAACACACCCTCCTCCTGGGTACCCTGGTGTGAAGGGCTTGTCATACTCAGGATCTTTTCCAGTGTCAAGACTTAGTGTTAAGGATGAAAGATTTTTTGGAGTTGAAATAGACTTGTTTGCATACGGCACTCTCCGAGCGAGGAAAACAGAACTATCATTTGTTCCTGGAGTAGTTTTTACACTAAGTGTTAAAAATCCAACTGATAAGGAAGTGGATGTGTCTTTCCTGTTGAATATTCCTCTTGGTGAGCAACCAGGTGCGATCAAGAACTGAAATTGTGTAGAAATATTAATGTAACTTTCATAACTGATTCAAGACCCGGAGTGGTGAGATAGTTAAGAATAATTTTTATAGCCTAATGAAGAAAACTTAATTTGAATGTTTGTCTTCCTTACCTCTCTAATTCCAGTAGGTATCTGTCCTTGTTCGAACGAACGTCTTGAGCGTCAGCTACACCTTGTGGTGAAAGTTAACTGATAATCTTTTTTCAAAGTTACCTTTCGAAGTCAGTAAGTATTTTTTTTTTGTTTTTGCCTTTTGTTTAGACACGTCAAGAAGAGGCGACAACATTGAGACCAAAGTTGATGTAGTGTCTTCAGCTCAGTGTGCAGCCATGTGTAACGAGGATGATCGTTGCATGGCCTGGAGCTATGAAAAGGACAGGTGTTCGTTAAAAGATGCAATGCCACTTCACGCGTTTAAGGCGGGTGTCACTTCCGGTCAGTTGCTAGAACTTGAGGTTTCTGCGTAAGCGCCGCAGCTGTCGATGAGACTGGGGCGCGAAAATCTTCTCCAATGTTTTTTCTCTTAGCAGGCACTCAAAAATAATTTTATTTAATTTTTTTGAAAAGAATACGACTGAATTAATAATTGAGAGGGCAAACGAGAACGTACCTTACACCATATCTTCTCTAATGTGACTCAGAGCGTAACGCAGGGCGCTTTGTGTCGCGTTTGGGGAGAGTAAATTTTAGAATTTTTGTTTATTTAAAACATCTTCTTTAAAAATACCATCTAGGCGTTAAGGGACAGTGGAGATTAAAGGAAGAAATGCTAACTTGTGAAAGGCCCAACAAGTTCCCAAACAGTGGAAGCACTACGCTTCTGTCAAGCAATACAAACAAACCAACATTTGGCGTCACGGATGACTTCCGGTCCGTTTGGGAAGCGTTTGAATCGAGCGGAAAACTAAGAAAGAGGATAGACTCTTTCGGCTTTCATGGCACGATAGCTGTTGGAGCAAGACTTCCTTCTGGTATAAGTGAAACACTGACGTTCATTTTAGCCTGGTATTATCCTTACCGAGACCACTCAGGAAAAAGCGTTGGGCAGTATTACAGGTAATGTATTGAAGCAAAGTACCGGACAGTCTAAAATGCCATTTGTTTTGGTTTGTCATGAACTACTAAACATATAGTTCGAGTTATCGAAAATTAATGGTTTAGAAAATGACCTGCGGGGAAATTTACATTGCTTCGATCTGGTGTGTGGTTTGAATTATCTAAAATTCGAGTTAATTATCGTGGGTAAAACTAATCGACTGATAATTGACGGAAATCCAAGAGAAATCGATTTTGGTTTAAGGAAGCGCAATGTTCGAATAAGCGAGGGTTCGAGTATCGGGAGTTGAACTGTTAATCCCCACCGATGTTCGAACACTCTCAAGCTTATTTATCGACAAATGTATGAAATTCATTTGGAGCTGAACATGGAAACGTAAGTGAGAAGATTCTAGACGAAGAGAAACTCTGTTTTGAAGACAGGTTCCAAGCTTAGGTAATAATTTATTATTCAGCCAGTCCAGCGTGACTGGGAAAGTCCATCTTCGACCATTTAAGGCTCAGGGTCTTCTTTGAGAAACGTTTCTTGCAGATAAATATATGACTTAATTCAAATTAAGTTTTGACTTGATGAATTTTCAAAATTCTATCAAATATTTCAGGTGTTTTGTTCATCCCTGTTAATCGATAAATTACTCTTGGTGAGAGTGAAATTTGTACTTTTAGAGGGGAATGAGCTTTTCAAAAATGAAAATATATATTTAAAGGAAGAAAATATAAGTAAAAAAAAGAAATAGAGGGGAGAAAGAAAAAGAGATAAAAAAGTTGTGCGACGAGGATGGGATTCGAACCCACGCGTGCAGAGCACATTGGATTAGCAGTCCAACGCCTTAACCACTCGGCCACCTCGTCAGATACAAAATGTGGGGTTTAATTTTTATATTTATACATTTATCCTTGATAGATGCTTAAAAATTTATATAATCACGCGCCGTCACAAAACAGTAATTGGACTATCTCTATTATCCTTTTCTTCTTACAACTTCGGAGGAGGATTCTAATCGATTCGTTGCTTAGCATGCAAATTAGCATTTAAACTCATAATTTCTATGTTTTGTTTTAAATAGCAACCTCTTCAACTCCAGCAGAGACGTAGCTGAGCACATCCGAGACAACCTTCTCTCAAACTTGAAGGACATCATTTCATGGCATTCAAATATCATTCCCTCGACGCCCTTCAGGACTTCCCTACGAAATTATGGTGTAAAGTCTTCTCTTCCTGAATGGCTTCAGGATCATCTAGTCAACAGTTTGAGTTTTTGGAGAAGCGGATTTCGAGTGGCTGACGGCAGGTAACTGTTAACAGTTTCTCTCATCTTCATGTGACAAAAGGAAGGAAAGAAAAGAACATTACATGATAACAAGAATTGATTCCGGCAATTAAAACGACTATGTGCCTTCATTTCTGTAATGTTGATTTCTTTTTTTCTCTTCCATCCAGATGGCGGCAATGGGAGGCACTAGACTGCAATGATGTCGATTCGGTTCACAATGATTTCCAGAGGGAACTACCGTACCTCATTTTCTTCCCAGAACTACTGGAAAACGTTGTGAGGGCCTGGGCTCGATATCAGCACCCAGGTGGATGGATACAGGAGACTCTACAGATACAGTGGGGATGCCATAACCGAACAAACCGGTTAGATACCCCTGGAGGAAGAGTCATGGCTGATGTCACGCCAGCCTTTTTAGCACAGGTATCTGTAAATAAGTAAATAAATGAATAAATTTAAAATTGTGAAGAAGTTTGAATAACCTCGTATTTTAGGTTTTCAGACACAAATGACGCATTTTCAGGAGCCCATCAAGTGATGGGCATTTCATTGAACATCTTGAACTCAAATATCTGGGTAGTTTGAACATTTCTAAGAACTTTTACGTGTTGCCTTTTATTCGGCTGATTTCCCAGTCTAATATATAGATTACAGAAATAATCTTATGATTGTAGTTCTGGGAAGTTTTGCATAAATATCAGCATAAACAGACAATTCGAAAGTGCAGTTATAAGTCACATTTGAGAGCCTAATTGGCCTAAGCACTGTGTTAGAAAAGTGCTAGCCGTTAAAAGTGTTAGAGAAGCTGCTAATGCCGTCTACAGACAAGGGCAGTCAGCTAAAGGCTAATCGTTCCCAAGACATTCTGGTCTTTTTCTCGCTATAGTTCTACCATCTTTACTTATGGACGGGCAACCAACAGGTCCTTCGAGATCTCTGGCCAGCAGCTCGCAAGGCACTGATTTGGCTCATGCGTGACAGCACAGGGGACTCGGGCCTCCCTTTACGTAAAACGTGCACTTACGATATTATTTACCAAGAGGGCTACGACCACACGACGTACAACAGTGTTATGTATCTGTTAGGATTACGGGTGGGCCAAGTCCTTGCAGACACCTTAGGAGAAACTGAATTGGCTCAGGCCATTCAGCTAGCGTTTGAGTACGGAAAAGAAAAATTGGACAGGACTTTATGGGACGAGGAGGAAGGATTTTATCATTCATGGTGGGATCACGAGAAAGGTTCTCCACCCTGGCTGATGGCGGACTCTCTTTATGGTCAGGTAAGTGAGATGGATTCAATCTACGCGCTCACAGAGACAACTTCAATCCCCGCTCATGTATGAAATAGCTTTATTTGAATCATGGATGGTGGGTGATCAGCTGATTTTCTGGAGTAAGATGCAACAACAGAAACTAAAACTGAAAAATATATATATATTATTGGTCCTCGAAGAAGCCTGGACTCTATTTCATATGGACAGAGGTAGTTTAAAATTATCAGTTAAAACTTCTACAGTGCCTTAAAGTTGACAATATGGAGATTTGATGTCATGGTCCAAGCAAAGTCAGTCGCTGATTTGTCCACTAAACACAAAAACTAAAAAAAACCGACCTTGTTCCAAAACAACAAAAGTAATGGCGAAAAAGAATGTTTCGCTCTCCCTACGTTTTCCTTATTTCTTCTGTTTCAGGTTTGGGCCTATGCCCTGGGTCTTGGACACCTTCTTGATCCTATCAAAATGAAAATGCACCTGAATAAAGAGAGACAGCTAAATGGCACACCCTACGGACTTCGCGTGCTTGCTCAAGGGATCAAGAAAAGAACAACGAAGACTGATAAAAATGCAAAGCAAAAACTTAGACAAAAGTGGAAAACACGCAAACAAGAGGAGGCCGTAGCAGATTTGGGCAGCTTCTCCAACCATATTTCAGAATTGAAAGATCCACATTTTAATAAACTATCAAATTTTACAGCGAAGGAGAGTCAGCTAAGGACAAAAATGTTCTACGATAATGATAAAATAAATAGACACGCTGCGCATCATTTTTCAGCGATTAAAACATCAGTGACGAAGATCGACATGAAAATACAAAGAAGAAAACTAAATGGAACAGACAAAATTGTGGATAACCAATTCAATTCAACATCAAATTCAATTCTATCCGTTACACAAAAATCTCTTCAACACGAAAACTGCTTTGCCCTTGAACAGGAGAGCAAGTTTAATTCCATTTGGATGGGAAGCGATGCAGATTGGACCACTCTCAACATCCATCTGGGAATGGATCCTTCTAAAGCTCTAAAACAAGCTGAAAGAGCTCTGGAGCATTACAGAACCAAACTGAACGACCTATGGAATATCCACGGTTTGACCGCTGGTCAGGGTTACGGCGTAGACGGTCAGCCGTGGTGCACGTCGCATTATAGTTTCCACATGGTCCTTTGGCACATACCGTTGGCTCTTTCTGGCCAGCAGTTTAATGCAATAAAACAAATATTAATATTTGAACCGAAATTGCAGGTCCCGTATAATCTTCCGTTCTTCACTCCTTTCGCTAGTGGAACAGTTCAAGCAAGAAAGCTAAAGGAGAGAATTAAGCTTACCGTGACCGTGACATCCGGGAGACTGGAGCTGAAGTTTTTAGCCGTATCAAAAAGTATGTTTCCAAACAAAAACGTTGAAATAAGTGAGGGTGAATTTGTAAGTTGGGAAATGAAATGAATATACCTTTCTATCCGACATTTTTTAATAAAAAAGATAACTTTAACTGTATGGTTATTCATCGCTCGTAATGATGAAACAATTTAAAACTAAAATTTTCGCCCAGAAAGAATAGAGTGAAAACACAAGTTGACTGCTGGCCTGTCCCCTTGAGACATGCAGAACCTAAATAGCATTTGAAAGCGTCCCTATTGACCTTAATAATGCAGGCTACAAACTAGTGCGGCTTGAGAGGGTGGGATGAGTCAACCATTTCCCCCCTCCTCCCCCCCATCTCCCTTGCACTATCCTACCGCGAGAGTTATCCAAAAAGCTTCGAGTCATAAGTAACTCTTGGCGCTAATGACAGCATTCCCGTCCCCAGAGCCCGTCAAATCTCTTAACCAGCAGGACTTTAAAATGAGAAATGGGTTCCATGTTTCAAAACCTTTCTGCCTAAAATAATTGAAGGGATTTAATACCGAGAATTTGGGAACAGAAAAGTTGAGAACCTTTCGTCGATCGAAGTTTGCTACCTCATATGGCGAGGCATTGTTCAGCTCATTAAACCTTCGGTTCATTCCTCCCCGTTCCCCATCCCTCCCTCCTACCCTTTAATGGCAAATACTGCAAAAGGTTTCAAAGGTAGTCAAGTCTTCTGATTTTTATAATACACAAGAACAGGGCCCCTGTTCTCACAATCCTAGTATTCTTAACCATTAAAATGATGAAACAAGCACAAAGTGTTGTTGCTTCCTTTTTATTGTGAACAGTTTATCCTATGAATATTAAGGCTTTAGGAATTATGTTCAACACCGGTGTTGAATCAGTTGGTTATTTCACCTTTGAAAAAATATTTTTTTCATTGATACTAATATTTAACTGTCAAAAAATAAATTTTCGTCACAAGAATTATATATGATAATCTTTCTAGATTGCCTTCAAAGTGCATAATTAAACTCACCATGAAACTAAAGAATTCCAATTAAACGTATACCAATTAGCGATCAAAATACATGATCGAAATTCTCAGAAATATACACCGTTAAAAGATTCCTAAGTCAAAAATTCCATATTTTCAAACACGGAAGATTAAGTTTTTTAAAACTCAAAAGCTAGAATAAAAAAAATGAGACTAAACACGGTGCATTTTATTGAAATTAGGGGACCGAAGAAAAAAGTAATTACCCTTGAATCTTAAAAATTATTATGAAATGCGGAATAACACCAATTTGTTGAGCTAAAACGATCAAATTTGGATTGCATTGTTCCTTTCCTAATGAACAACCTAATATTTCATGTTATTTGAATGCATATGTTGGTTTTCTCTGTATTATGTCTAAAAAAACATCATCAAACTGTCCGGCTCAGTGTAGTTTTCCTACAACACAGTCGTCGCTTCGTTCAGCGAAAAACTTTGCAAAAACCTACCACTAGGAAACGTAACCTTTGGATAACCAGTAACTAACTGGTCTGTGCTTCCTGTAGTAGAGTCCGATGGAGAATGGCTTAACACGGTCTCATTGACATCTGCTACGTCATCTGGGTTGTACTTTCCCGAGTACTCATTTTCATAATCACTTCGTGATCCCATCGAGATGTTGTCGGCATCTTCGGAGTCTTCCTCGTCAGAATCCGGTGGCTTCGGCGGCGGGCCTTTAGGCGGAGGGGGGAAGAACGCGTTATGATCTATTTCAACATATTCGTCCGGATCTTCCTCCCTCATGGCTGCCAGTTGCGAACCGTAGCCGAAATTTAAAAAGCTCATTTCGCCACGAGAACCGTCATCACTGCCTTCAGAACTGTTGTCATCCTCGGCTGGTATATGGACTATAACCTCTTGAGCTTCCTGTGAAAATGAAAGGATATAGCGAGTTAAATGACTTGCACCTGGTGTGTTGATTATTCAGTAAGTCATTATTTACTGTGAAGTCATCAGGGCGTCAAGGCCACAAATAGAAACGAAAAGGAGATAAACTCCAGGAGCCTGGGACATGATATGTTTACGAATTAAATATCTATATATTTCAAAGGGTTACTTCTATAAAGCAAACTGCGAGACTTGACAAAGAAATGACCGTATTTTGGTAACAATCTTATGAACAAAACATTACTATAAACAAAAGCTGAGGTCACTGGACATTATCGAGCAAGTGATAATAGTTGATTGGTTACCAGTACCTCAAAAAGACAACAATGCCTGAAAATATTGTTTCTACCATTTTTATAAACTTCTGATTAAGAAGCTTCTCAAATTATTTGCTGGTTATTATCTTTTAGCATAATTGCTCCGGTGATTATAGAGATGCACGCTCTCTGATTGGTCGAGGATTGCCTCATATCTCGCTATAATCACCTCGCGCGAGGTGATTAAAGCAGGAGCGCCAAAGTAAGAAATGGCTACCTCGCGTTTTGTCAGTGTTGCCGAGGTACTGATGAATACGATAACGAAAATTCAATTCTGAGTAACACTTTTCAAAGAAAGATATGAAATTTGCTGATTGAATTAAATGAACCTGTGAAATTCGAGTGGAAGGTGGCTGTTTATCTCGAGTAATCGAAACAATTGAAACTAAATGGTTTCAGCATCAAAACGAATATTTACAACAGAATTCGAAAGCACTAGAGCAATTATGCTAAAAAGATTATTCGCCTCAAGCCCAGTGAATATTGTTGAATAATTCCCTTGACTTCCTCTCGGGGATTATTCAACAGTAATCACTGAGCCAGAGGCGAATAATTGTTAAATAATAGTTTACTGCGTATTATAATTTAGAAATATTTTTTAAATACTTTCACTTTTATAGTTACATTTTATAACATGGTGAAGTCGTATTTTATGTCTGCCTGATAGCACACCATGTGAGCGCGAACATCATTAGATGTTGGACCATTCTGTAAAAGTTTGATAAAGTAAACAGGCTGCTCCAACGTAATCGATTGTCTATCATTTATAAACGAAAATCAAACGATCATATCTACAGATTAGCACTGATTGAGAGGTTTAAATGATTAAAATCACAGTCTGCATCATAAAATGTGGTGGGGTTCTATAATTATGGCTTAATCATAACTGGCATGCAATGTTATTAGAGGTTAAATGAAAATCGTTTTCTGTAAGTCCAGTTTTTATATGATTGAAACTTTTTTTCTGGTGTCCTTTATGTATGAAAATGCTCTGAAAGTCAGGAACAAAAATATTTTGTGATAAATTTTTGTCTGTTGCTGGTCAGAAAACTATTTCTAGAAGTTATAACAAAATTAGTTTTATTCAGGTACCAGTTTATGCTGGTAACTAACTATCTACAATCCACAGTGCGAAAACTTTAAATGATTTCAATTGCCTTTCTCTAATAATATAGGATGTTTGGGAATAAAAATTTCTTGAAAATACAATGGAACATCATCTAAACAGTTGAGTAAGAGTGTTTAGCAGCAGTTATTTGTCATTTTATATTGTAGCACCACTAGTACGCAGAGAGCTGAGACTGAATAATGGGAGATGTTACCTGTGCGGATTCCACGTGGTTTGATGTCACAGCAGTCTGAACAGGTTCAATGCTGAGGTAAGGAGAAATAAGGCTAGTTAACTAAAATATGCCGACAGAACAGCATGACTCTCTATTAATTAATTAATAATAATAATAATAATAAGGATTTCTATAGCGCCATATCCGTAAGCTCGTGGCGCTTATAAGGCCATTCTTTATGAATGTAACTGAATAGTGAATCATAATCTAAGCTCAGAGGTCACACTTGCAGATACAAGAATATTCGCCTATCGAGACCTCAAGCACATTCCACACAACTGAAAGATACTAAATTTGACATTCTTCAAATAATCTTCGAGGTAAATTATTTTAAACCAAAAATGAATGGTCATGTTGTTGTGTAGTACGTAATGTAGGCTGGAATGTCAGGGATGATGTGCTCATCCTTTAATAGCCATTAAAGTTGAAATTGTAGAAATGGCATAAGGAAACATACTAAAGTCCACAAGGCAACTAGGTGGACAATCAGACATGGTTTGATGCTACTCTGGTTTAAAGAATGAATGTTAACCGAGAAGTAACAATTCATAGACCCAGGGTCTATGAATTTTTAACTTCTCGGTTACATTCATTATATCTTTAAACCGGAGTAGCATCAAACCATGTCTGGTATAAGGAAAGTTTGACAAGTTTTCTACCGAGAGAAAACTCGTGAATGTTTCATGTCACTTACAAGAAAGGTTTGTCATTGAACGTCACTCTTGTTTGTCTCTTTTTCTTGAACGGACTCTGACCATTTCTTTTTCTCCTAAAACAAACATGAAAAGGAATGAACTTCCATTCAAGCACAATCAGAACAGCCCAAGAAATTCCTACATTAAACTTGTTAGACCCTACTCTTAGTAAGAGTGAGGTAATTCACCGATTATAGTATGTAACGATTATGGCGATAGCACCAATTTCAGCCACAAGATTGTCTGAAACACGAACTTGAAGCCATTCATACAGGTGCCTTTTTCATGCTCGTATTATCTGTATATTTCTCTGAGATTCACTCAGTATAATCATCATAATTATCGCTCTGAGATTCACTCACATGATCAATATAATTATCATAATTATCGCTCCTACACCAATAATGACACCAAGGCAGATCATGGCTCCGACCACGGCAGATAACTCCTCCTCAGTACCCTTACGAGCCTCTGTTGAGGGAGGTCCACCTGGGGGCCGGTACCATAATATATTGAACTTTTTATATGTGGTTTTTAAAGCTTCTTCGTTGTCTGACAAAGCCCTAAAAAGGGAAAAAATATTGTAAGACGTTACACGATAAAGCTGTTCGCGGGTAACAAGTTTAATGTGTCAGCAACATTGCGAAGGGAGCTATGATATAAGCTGAAATTTATGACATTATAAACAATTCACTGGCGCCGCCGACTGGATTTCGATAGGAACGAGATCTTTGAGCACGATGAATTGGTTGGGCGTAATATTGTTGAACATTAAGACGGCTTTCCTGTAAACTGATTGACTTCCACTAAATAGAATTTACAACATACCACATCTAGGTAAGTTTATCAAAAAGAGGAATTAAAATGTTTTAAACTTTACCAAAATGGAAATGAACTCGTCATGCAAGTACTGAGATTTGTCCAGTGCAAATTCAATGAATACAAGTCGTCTGTCTTTGATGAGAAGTAATCCCACTGGTTATACAATTTTTTCTCACCAGTAAAAGATGTCGTATGACTAATCAGAAGCCTGATACGGTTTTCCTCACGAGTGAAAAAATCGTACCGGTTTTCCCGCCTTTCAGGGAAGTAACGCCCTTAGACTCGATAAGTGACTTGCACCTGAAGGTTACTTATTTGAAAATTTAACCAATTTATAGCACTAACCTTGTAATATCAAATCCCGACATTACCTCGTCACCTCTCACCACGTTGAAAGTCACAAGAGTCCTGTAGCGTTAAAATACACACTGATTATTAGCTTCTACGGACATTTGTGACTGTTAGTTAAGTTCTAAAAAATGATTCTTGCATTTGGAGACCGTAATGGGCTTTTCAGTAGTGTCAAAAACGGATAACAACAAAGCTCGCAAATCGAGCATTATAAGAGCTAAGGACAATTTTTGAGTCAATCAAATAACTGGTAACACAACAGTTTATTAACTTCCTTGTCAACGAAAGACGCGGGCTATCAGTTCAGAGGTGAACCAATTTCGTTTTCAAAGTTATCAATAAGATTTCTCTATTCCTTTAAGGATGTCTTGCCGGTTTGTTTTGAGAAAAATGGGAATCCATAGACATGGGTGAACAGTAAATATAACCAAGCGGATTAGTGATCAGGTGATACTTACGCGTTTTCACCATCTTCTTGCTGAAGATACTTTATAAGGGCATCTCCCCCCGTTATGGATTTAAGCATTCTGTCCAAGAATAGTAATAGTATTACTGTTATATATGTGTTGGCCCGAAACAATCAAATACAACTGTTGGCCTATTTGCAGTCTGATAACATATGTTTCGTTTTCACGTAAGGTCACGTTGACCATATTGATTGTGTGAAACAATAAAAACTCGACTATATCGGTGGTACATATCAGATCTCTTCTTCAGTAATGCTAATCTTTTCTATTTTCCAATGAAAATTATGCACGTAGGTAAAACCTTTCTAAAAAAATTAATAAATTGTGGGATTACATTTTTTTAAAAGCTAAGTTAAAGTTCAATTTTGCTGCTTTGCTTGCTCTATTTCCTTCCCATCCTCCCACTCTTTTGGTGTTCATTCCACAAACCGGTTTGTCCGTGTTGAATTTTGGTAGGTGCCTTATAAAGGGCTGTGACGCGGTTGTCACAGTTACCTTCTTGCTTCTCTTCTCTGTCGCCACTTTTACGACACCTACCCTACAATACTTTTGATGAAATTTTTTTATCAGTGTTTATCAAGAAATATATTCTTAACTAGTTCGGCTATGTTTGTGAAATTATTGAAGATCTAAATCACTACGCATACTCAAGAAATTCCGCTCTGCTTTTCGTGATCTCTTCCGGGACCACACCTGCCTTTATAGCAATGGAATCTTCATCACGGAGAACAAAAACCTAGAGAAATATGCAAGAAAGTCTTGAGACGCTCTACTATGTCCAAATTTCCTCTAATAACACAGTTGACCAACCTACTAAGATACTACAGGAAACATATCTCAAACATTTCCTAGTGAAACTGTTAACTACTGCTTGACATTACTGTCAATCAGCTAGATTTAAGAATTCTTCAATCTCTTACGGAAGGGCATGCTAATTCACTTATCTTGAGCAATCAGGAATGATGTTCGTACTCTACATGTACTTCACTCTGTAACTGGTTCAGAAAATAAGCGTCACCTGATCCCCCCCTTTTTCCAAACAGAGTCGAATCCTAATCTGCGCCTCAAGAAATGATTTTGTTGGTTTCCTTTGATATTTACTACTTTCTGATGGGCCATTTTGATTACGGCACTCAGACAAAAAAACTGTGGTGAAGAAACGAAGACACCAGCATTCAGAACGTCTAATTATATATTTCGCAAACTCGAAAAGACTTTACGGCATTTTTTTCATACTTACGTTTACAATAGCGTTGGTGGCCGCCTTTTTCTGGCCGTCCGAGGCACTTACTTCTAGAGTGAACTTTGAACCATCTTTACCAGCCAATGAGGTTGCGACTCTCACGTGACCTGTGTCAGGCTCTACATGAAACAACCCCAGCCCATTGCCATTGACAAGTTCGAAGGTAATGGCGAATTGCGAATCTGAATCAGCATCGCTCGCCTGAACACAGAATATGTCAAAAACAAAGCGCTGACAACCCAGCTTCATACTGATTTCTGCTTAACTACATTTCTTCTTTAAGTTTTGATAAATTTCTCTCTGCCAAATTAGGGTATTACTCGTTCATAAACTGTATTTTAAAACTAAAAATATAATTAGTCAATGTCTACTAATCTTCTCTATCCACGACCATCCCTGTTCCCTTTCAGTTTCTTGTTTCCCTCTGTCTATATACCCTACCATCGACACGATTTTCAACCCCTATAGGTTTGGTAAAAATTTCGCTTCGAGAGAACAGAAGTCAGGTCGAGAGTGGGTTTTCAAAATTTTATTTCTTTGGGTCGTTAAGTCCTAAGAAATTTGCAAAATGATCCAAAAACTTTAGAGATTCTTCTTTCCCAACTAAACAGGATTAAGTACTTAAAAAAAAAAAAACAAACAGACAAACAGATAAGAACATCTCTGGGGATTGTTACCTGGTTATCAAGTTATCAAATGGAGTTATTTCCTGGTTTATAGTAAAACACTGGGAACATCTTTACAGAGCAATTTAGAAAGGCAAAGGACTTTATCCAATAACACGTACCTTAACAGTCGTCACTAGCGAATAGTAAGTCGTATCTTTGTACACACCTTGTAAAGGACGATGAAAAATTGAAAAAATAAATAAGCTACGGATACCTTTTCAAGGAGAAAACAACAATTTTTTGTCCTTTTCTTATCTTTACAACTCTTTACAGTTAAGAGAGTGTGGTGAAAAGGTTATTTACTGGACCTGTTGGGGCCTGGGACCTAGACCAACCTCCCCCAGCTAGGCAGGGTTATGGAAATGTAAAAGCACTTCGGGAGAGCGCGAAGCTCTAGGACAAAGTGAACAAGGTGTTTGTATTAAAAAAGAAATGAGAGCAAATGTAGGCTGGAAACAGGGTGTTTATTGACCCGAGCTCGAGTTCAAGTCCCATTTGTTGTCATTGTGTTGTATTCTTAAAAAACACTCCACTCTTGCTCCACTAGGAGTAAAAACGAATGGGATTACCAAGGTAACTTACATATGCTGAGGGGAAAACCCCGGAGGACTTGTATCTGATACAGGGAAGTAATTAGTCTCCTGGTCGCTTTATGTTACAGAAACTGGGATGAGCTCTCTGGGTAACTAAGCTTGCAAACAGACTTTACGCTGTGTATATGGTGGTTTTTACACTACCTCTGTCCCAAACTACACATGCCCTCTTGACCGCTAACTGAGGTAGCCGTCTTCGTAACTATCGCAAAATCTACCCTTATTTAAAAGTTTTTAGGCATTTCACATTTTATCATTATAGTGTTTTTACAGTTTAGTTAAAATTTGGTTATAATCTCGTTTCCTATCCCTAACTTAGCCTTTTCACGACACTTCCTCTAGTATCTTACCTCCTACGTATAATGCCGGCGCGAAGACTGGAGAATGTTCGTTTACATTGGTGATATGAACAACAACAAAACCAACATCAGAACGGGGATGCTGTCCATTGTCTTGGGCGTTCACCACGAGCTAAGGGCAGTAGATTACTTATTACTTATAAGCAAATGTTCAGTTGATTAAAGGTTGGGTTATTGAAGCAATAATGATGCAAGAAACTTCGACTTAGAGTGCAAGGACTCCTTCGAAATAAAGAAAGGTAAAGAAAATATGCGACGGTTTGTTGACATGGACATATTTTCGTTTTATTTTTTTTTAAGTTATTACGTTACGATCCTCTCTGATTTCCTATGATATGTTGTTACCTCTTTAGGTTTTTCAACACTGGCAAACTGTTATCTTAAGATTTACTTACCCCAAAAGATAATTTTCTATGAATTAAATTAAATTAGGGAACTTTTGCAAACTCGTGTAAGAACTGATCTGAATCGCATTATTTTGCCATTCTGCACTTTTACGGAGCAGGAATGTCAGCTCAGTTTGTTTCCTAAAATCATTGAGATCATGTATCACTGGGAGGAGGGGGGGGGCGTTTGATCGCATGGTGCGAAACCTGACAGTGTGATTATACCTATAGAAAAATCTACACGAAACAAACTTCGACACACAAGTTTTTTCCTTGAAGGAGACAAACCCAGTTAGCTTACCTGATGTTTCTTTTTCACACGAAGATAAAGTATCAAATTATTGAGTCTTAATAAAAGCCTTACCGTGTACAGCTCGGGATCAGTCTCCCTGTCAAACGACCCGGATGTGGTTATGACACCTGTAATGTTATCAATCGAGAACCTGTTGACCGCGCCTTCTACAAGCTGATAAGTAATCCGCGCATTTGCTGCAGTGTCGGCGTCGGATGCATTACACTGAGCAACAAATGAACCAGAGGAAGCACCCTGCAACAGAATAAGGCGACTACTGAATGATACTGAGCTTGTATGAAGATAACTGGAGAGACCGTACTGATGGATTCAGTCTTTCAAAATACAGTGGCTGCATCTTTCATGCAGAGAAAAACATTAAACGCTGGGATCTTAAAAGCGATGATCTTCTTTATAAGGATGAATTCTCCATTACGTGCCTTTCTACCGAAAAAGGCAGATTCATAATCTTGTAGTCATGGCAAAGTCAAGTGTGCTTCGAATTTACTTACCTCTACAACAGAAGCTTGAATGATCCGTGTTTGAAGAACCGGAGAGTTATCATTGACATCAGTCACGTTTATAGTGACGTTACTGAACGCACGGCGCCGAGGCTCTCCCATATCAGAAGCTGACACGTTCAGTACGTACTGAACGGCGGCTTCAAAATCGAGTGGTTTTACCAAAGACAATTCTCCAGATTTATTGTTCAAAGCAAAGAAAGCTAGGAAAAGAACGAAAGGAAAAGCATAGGCTGTGAAAGAAGACATAACTTACATAACTAGTAATCAAGAAAGAGATTCTCGTGTCAGTGAAGTCAAATTAAGAGACGTCGTGCACTAGCATGCACCAGGGGCACGCATGTACAATCCAGGTTGCTAAAATGAGTAATATAACAAGACAAGCACGGTGGCCTTTGCTTGAACAAAAATTTTTAGACCGGGCACAATGCAAACTCTGAGGGCGAGATCAGCTGAGACAGCGACTAGACATTTAAGAAATCATTACTCTGTTTTAAAAATGTGTTTCAAACACGAGGGACCATGGTAAAGAAGATGAGAAACAGACGGTGCGCGAAACTTGCGATTGAAAGTTATTTTCTGACTTTGGAATTCATATTTTTTATTCAACAAAGTCTAAATTTATTTGTCTAGCCATAAGTACCTTGTTCATTTCCTGCTATGATGTTGTACACCACAGAACCATTAAGCCCTGCGTCTCTGTCTACGGCTGTTACTGTGAGGACAACAGTTCCCTCGGGTGTGGTTTCTGGTACACTTACCAATGTTGGGTTTTCAAACTTAGGAGTGTTGTCGTTTACATCAACCACGTTTATGTTTATCTAAGTAGTGAAAATAATGCAGAATTAAGGGACGATAAGCGAGGAAGATATGGAGAACCTGCGATTTGGGCCCAAGATATATGAATATACGTAAGGCGATGTTGTGCATTAAACCTACCAGTCAACTTGATCTGTTGCGTTACCCCAGTATTCGATTTCAAACTAATTTTAATTTGTTCCAGAGAATTAGCCTCTTGATAATTGAAAAATTTCGAAATTTTTGAGAAATGCAGCGATGCTGAAGCTGAATTGGCGCTGAAATAAGTGGAAATCCTTCTATTGGGCACTAGATCATAATAATGTTTCTCCTTACTTCCCGCGCCACTTTTCAAAAATTGTTCAGTACGAAAAAATTGTCAAATAAAAGAACATCCAACCCTCAGTTGGTGTCTTTCTTCATGTTCATCACCTGTCTTCTCAATTTATCAATGTTGTTAGAAGAAATTACGAGTTGTTCATTCCGGAAAGTAAAGGGTTGAAAACAGATATTGAACACAACAATGATAATATGCGGTCTAACCATTGCGAAGCCTTTGTTTCTTCCATCTTTCAGAAGCTCCACGATCAAAGTGTACTTCTCACGTTGTTCTCTATCCAGGACTCGAGTGCCAACTCGCAGTTCCTTCGAAGTTTCATTAACAAAAAAAATGCCATCTTCGTTGCCTCGGTGGATTAGGAATTCGGGAGATGATATATTGAAATATTTCTCCAAGTTCTACGAGTGAATGGAGGGGAAATTAAGGAAAAATAACAGATAATGTCATGCCTATCACTAATTTTTGACAGTGTAACGTAGTATGCTTGCTAATATACTCAGTACTGTTCCTTAAGGAGAGAAATGCCTCTAGATAGAACAATCATGGCTTGATAGCAATTATTATAGTGACCATCATAATAATGATAATTGTTGCTAAACACGATATTATTATCAGGTGAAATGCAACCTTTTATTCACAAGAGTGCTTTTCTTAATTCAGATATCCACATACCATCAAGTCAAACACCGTAATGTTTGCTTCATTTTCTATCACTGATGCCACAAATGTTCGATTGGGCATTGAACCGACATTTATCATAACCAGTGCAAACGCAACAGGCTGGTTAGTTGATTTCGCCTGAAAAAAAAAATGAATAATAAAAAAAACAATCGATGTAGCATTTAATCTCCTGAAACCAATTGGGCCTTTACTCTACAGCTGCCGAGAATGTTTACGTGCCCTAGTCTTGTCTTCAGGCGTCCTCTCTTTTCTATTTCTGCGCAACGTTTTGGGTTGTGATACGGCCAGTATCGCACAGTGATTATATGGATTAAAGTTGAAGGAACTTACCGTAACTATAATAGGATACGACTTTCGAGTAAGATTTCGGTTTACTGTTATTATTCCTGTGGCGTTATTGATTTTAAATGATTCCTCCGGGTCACTGGCTGCAATATGAAACAATGAAACTCAAAGATATGTTTGTCTATAAAAGACCTTTTCAGCTAAAGGCGGGCGACCTGCTCGTTTACAAGGGGACGTCTGTCAAACGCAATAAGAACTACTAAGGGTTTAAAAGGAAACTATGTTGTCCAGGAAAAAGTCTTACACTCGTAACAAGACGGCAAAACTGCTCAAAAACTATAGGCTATCTCAATTTCCATAACATTAAGCGGATGGCGTATCAAGAAATGGTCTACCCTTAAGGCTGCACTTTTCATATAAGGCATCGCACAAAGCTCCTTTAATCATTGGTAACTCTCAGAGACTTCTGTCGACGCTTGGTGCAAGAGCTCGTGACTGATTGTGATGGAAAAAATTATTGGAAACAATCTAGCTACTGCTCCTACTTGTATGGGATTCTAATCATATCGATCACATGCCCCCCCCCCTCCCCACCCTTCCCCCTCACCCGCCATTTCCCTGACAGATCGGTAGACTATAGCTGAGAGAATGGGCTAAGTTTCTGAAGAAACTGTGGTGCCGCGTCGGTGGGGGGGGTGTTACAAGATATTCTGGTTTTATCAACTGAGTTGATAATGTAAATTGGCCAGCGCAAAGAGTTTCACGGCTGACGTTTCGAGCGTTAACCCTTCGTCAGAGCGAAAGGCGATGGGCTAACGCTCGAACCGTCAACTTTTAGCCAGTTTTATCTGTAATAACTGAGACACTAACCTGGGTATATGACGTATGACACTGAAGCCTTTAAAGAATCCTGGTCTTCAGCGTGTACTCTGATTATTTCACTTCCCTGCGTTTGAACAAAAGAAAAATAACGGTGAGACTAATTAACTATTTAAGGTTGCACGGGTTTGAATTGCGCGTCATGCACTTAGTCAGATACAATACCTCTAGAAAGATTATTCACTTCTTTTGTTTAGGTTTAGTTGACTTTACTTCCGTAAGACTAACTGTTGTGATAAGTTTAACTCTGAGAAGCGCCATGAAAAATTTTTAGTTTGTACCTCCTTTTGCCCCATGTAGAAAAGTAAATATTATTACGGCCAAAAAGTAACACTCTAGGGGACAAACTACAACGCGATATAAAATTTTAGAAGGTTTATCAAGTCATAGTTTATTGTGGGTCGCTAGTATTATGGGGGAGGTTAGAAAATTCGCAGTCGGATAGCTCGATAGAACACCAAAACCAATCGCGACTTTGGAGGGTTGTGGTATACTTTCATAAAAAGCGAAGCTTGTACGTGGGGAAAGGGGAGGACTCCACTAGAGTATTCCTGACGTTTGGGTGCTGGGTGCATGTTAGGTTGGTTTATCATAATTACAAAGTATCGAATTTTGTAACCAAAACGGCGGTTCATTTATATCCTTAGAGCCCCCCTGACCACACCCTTGTAGTAAAGAGCAGGCCTCTTTATAATTCTCACCTGTGGTGTATCGACGTCAATCAGTACTTTATATAAATAATGGGAAAACGCCGCAGGAAGGTCGTCTGCATCGGTCACTCCTATGTTAACCACCGTCCAGTTTTGATTGCCCGTAAGTGCACCATATTGATCCTAAAATATGTCAAACAGCTTTTTAGGTAACGCAATGTCACCGTTTCAATATTTTCATGAAGCAATGCAGGTGTCCATTGTAGCGAGGCACAATGATGATTAACAATTAGATTAAAACTGGAGGTTTCTATCGCGCAAAGGTTGGCAAGGAAGAGGCCCGAATCATTTATCAGACCTTGAATTAGTGTTAAAATAATTGAACTGTTTTCAAATAAATTTACAAGCCGTTCGAAGAAGAAAAAAGGACCTATTTATATCCTTATTTTCCAAGTATTTATGTTTCCACAGCAGACTGTTAGACTACTCAATATACTAGGTAATTTAGTGTTAACAACTGGGTTGAAAACGTAAATTAGCCACCGTAAAGGGTAAAAAAGCTGACGTTTCGAGCGTTAGCCCTTCGTCAGAGCGATTACTCAATATACTATCAGCCATCTATCATAGAATAGATGGTGAACAGCGTAGCTGATCACATGGAAGACTTTGTGATAGAGTACTTGAATAATAAAATAAAATATAAAATATAATCAATCTACTTTCTGCCATCTATCATGGAATAGATGGTGAGCAGCGTAGCTGATCACATGGAAGACTTTGTGATAGAGTACTTGAATAATAAAATAAAATATAAAATATAATCAATCTACTTTCAGCTATCTGAAGATATCTATCTATGGTGAGCAGCCTAGCTAATCACATGGAAGGTTTTTAATAGAGTACTTGAATAATCGTATCAGATATTATCAACCTACTATCAGCTATCTATCATGGAATAGATGGTGAGCAGTGTAGCTGATTACATGGAAGACTTTGTGATAGAGTACTTGAATAATAAAATAAAATCTAATATGATCAATCTACCGTCAGCCACTTATCATGGAATAGATGGTGAGCAGCATGGCTGATCACATAGAAGACTGTGATAGAGTATTTGAAGAATCATATCAAATATTCTATTTTCAGCTATCTATTATAGAATAGATGTTGAGCAGCGTAGCTAATCACATGGAAGACTTTGTGATAGTGTACTTGAATAATCATATCAAATATTATCAATCTACTATCAGCTACCTATAATGGAATAGATGGTGAGTAGCCTAGCCAATCACACGGAAGATTTGTGATAGAGTACTTGAATAGTCATATCAAATATTATTAACCCTTTTACCCCTAAGAGAGACCTGCATCTTAAGTCTCCTTATAATATCACCCTTGAATCTCATTTTTAGGTCACGAGAAGAAAGAAAATGATCACCAACCAAAAAAGTTCTTGATTGTTAAACAAAGCAGGTTTTTCTTACCGTTGCCGTCACGTTTAAATCATATTGCCGTGTGGACCCTTCGAAATCAAGAGGTTTGTCTAAGGTTATCCTTCCCGTGCCACCATCAATTCTAAAAATTGCATCCTGAAACCAAAATCAGGGATAAAATGATACACAAATTATTTTTTAAATCATTTTCAAAGCCCTTCTTTTGCCGAGAGCAATTATACTTTTGAAATATATTTTCCTGATCAAAATGTTGTAATAATCTTAACTTCTTTTTCCTTAGAACTTTGGGGAAGATTTTCCTTTTACTGGAGACGTATATAGCTAAAACGTCTTAACACTTAACTATGTGAGGACCAACCCATATTAAAACAAAACAGGGAAAAATTATACGAGATCCTCCTCCAAAATGGTCACTGGAATAGATATGAACAAGACATGCTACTAATGTTAACCGTGTTTCCATCCACAATCCTGAAGAAAACGGCATTGTTATGATGATCTGAGCTGTCTTTATCAGAAGCTGAGAGACGCAAAATCTCCTCCCCAACTTTCGTGTCCTGAGTAAAAAAAAATTGTGTAAACAAAAGAAAGAATATCACATCTCCCCTCAATAACCGCTAAGACACCCTATGGACGTAAAGAGAAATTTGAGCAGGTGGATACTACCTAAGTGTGTGACTGACATTTGGTTTATGGTAGGTTTTGTTGATATTATCGTCATCCTCATCTTCATCTTCATCGTCAGCTTTGTCATAATCATCGTTATCGTTATTGTAACGTTTTTTTTTCTTTGATGGTGGCGTTGTCATATTCGTCATTGTGGTCATTATTATGCTTATTGTCGTCAAAAATTATCATTTCTTTTATTGGCAAAACATCTTCAACAGTCATCTTGCTCGTACCTCAGGTATGTTGAGCCGATAGGGCAGGTTTTCAAACTGAGGATAGTTATCATTAATGTCCAGAACTGTGCACAAAATATGAACTTCAGCCTGTCATAAGGATCAAAAGAACACAATAACTGTGTTGTCTGCACATCAGCTGTGTAATAGATTGTTTAAGATAAGTTTTTTTCAGAAGGTTAAATTTGCTTTCTCTTCATTAACTCTTAGTACACTTCCCAACCCAAACTGGTGGTGTATTCTCAGGGACTTATAACACTTCAGCTACCGACAAATTTTCAATTGCAGAAAAACCTTTGAATACGGGACAGATGCTTGGCCAGGCTATTAGAGTTAAAATTACCTTTATAAAATATATTTAATCCATGATGTCGCTTTAAATGTCCGTTTCATTACTTGCGGGCTGCTGTGCCATTTAACTTTAGGCATATGTGTAATTAAATATTTCGATTTCGCTGTTTTTAGTTGTATCATTTGGATGCAAATCTTATGTGGATGACTTGTAGAGGACAAAAAGCTAATACAAAGTCGGGACTCCATGTGGGAAAATATATTCAAAATTATTCTCTCTTCTTGAAATTTCTACAACTTTCCCCAAAATCTTTTCTATGTCTTTTTCCATAGTCTAAATCTGAATCACTCATGGTTTCGTATTCATTTAATTATCTCTTACCTCTTGTTCTCCTGTTTTTTGAGCCACAGCTTTTAAATTCAGAGCACTTCCCGTTCCCTATGGAAACATCAACAATAATATAAAACACATAAGGAGACGAAATAGATAATTAACGTACCTGTACACAGCGGAGAGAAAAAAGTCATGAAATAATTACCAATATGATATAACAATAGATTTCAAACTGTAGTTTATAATCTCTTGGGGATAATAAATTTCTGTAATGAAATGGAAAGATGAAAACGAAAAAAGGAAAAAACGTTGTGAGGCTTGCGATACTAAAGAGTCATAACGTGGTATACTCTCCTAACTTAACTATTAGCCATGGTAATTAACATGTTTTAAGTCTTCAGCTGGAGTTTATCAAACTCTCACTGCTGTCGATGAAATAGAATGATGTAGTCGCTAACGCCCGCAATTCATGCTCGGTGGTACAACCATGATGCAACACGGTACGAAGTAAATGGATTCTACGCAGCATTAAACGATGCTGTGATAAGTCCTTGCAGTCTCAGAAGGCTCCAGGCTGTGAGAACCGTCATCAATTTTATCATCATTTACCAAACCTAGGCCTTCTGATATCCCAAACAGGTCCTAAAACCGCCAAGGGACCTTGTGTACTACACCTACCTCTCTGTCTAGAGTCCTTGCAGTAGTAATTACACCGCTCGAGTTGTCTATTTGAAACCACCCTTTGTCATCTCTTAGGGAATAAATGATTGGATCGCCATTCTGCACCAAAGCAATAGCTTGCACTCTTGTGACGAAAGTGCCTACAAACAACATTAGTCGAAATCACAAAATAGTCTGATAAGTTTATTGCTAAATGTTATCATAGACCCCGGGTCGATTCGATGGCTAAGAGACACACTACACTATGACACAGAGTACGCTTGTCCAGTCTAGCTCCCGTTGGGTCATCATGGTGTATTTCTCTACGTAAGCACGGCCGCTAAGGACATAGCGAGTTCATCAGACACAGTTTTCAAAATTATCGCTGCAATCGCCATTAAGACAGGAGAAAAATAAGGCAATCATATTACTGGCACAGTGTCCAATAACCACCACTCCTAAGTCCCTTTTCATCAGAAGCGCAGCTGTCTTACTGAACCACCCGATCGCAAAAAAAACGCAATACTAACAAACCTGTACTACACATTTGAAAACATTACATAATGGAGTAGACCATATAGGTAAAATACCGTAGTTTGGTCGGACATTCTTTAAAAGTCGCCAATAAATCCGTGATTGCCCGAGTTTGTTTTTATAACGTGCGCATGCTACGCACTATACTCATCATCAATAACAAATAAAAGTACAACCAAACGCAAAGTTAGGTAGATGTCACAAGGAGCCAATAAGAAGCCAGTGTATAAACAATCATGCAATAATCTTTATACAATGGCTCTTTATTGGTTCCTTGTGATATCCATACCTTTATTCTGATTGGTTGTTGTAATTACTTTGGTTTTGACTTTTAGGGCACTCCATGAACAAAGTGTCATAGGAAGAATATTATTACCTTGAGGGCTAGTTTCATTTAATGTGGATTGATAATATTGTACTTGAAAGTAAACACCTGAAAATAAATAGAAAAGCAATCTCAGCGTCATTCACCCAAAAGAAAAATATTATCTCTTGACTTTCAGGCAGTTTCAGAGAACCTTTTGTACATGTTTAATCAGATACTATTTTGCCAGTTTCAGTGACTTAAATAACTTCAATATAGAACTACTGTAGGGAGAGTTAAAGAAAGATTTCCTTCCGAAAAGAAATAAATGATAATATTGTTCAAGGGCAATTGACCTAGCTGGAATTTAGAAAAATAATCATTTCATCAAAAGTGAGTTTCTCCTTGTTTTCAACTCCTCCATCTGATTTCAAGTACCTAAAAGCAGAATTATCATGAGCACAAGCTAAATGAGGGTTGTTCTAAAATCTAAAGCAAGGGGTGAAATTAACGAAACCTTTTGGTGCGACCTGCAAACTCGAAACGGAAAAGAATGGAATTGTTGAGATTGAATTCGATCAACGATCGATGGGTTCTGTCAATTTCTTGGTTTTATATAGTGCAGTTTCCTGAAAACGTAAATAGAAAGATATTTTCATCCTATATTTATATTATTTTTATGCGCAGTCAATGTGATGCTTCCTGCATGAAGTGAAAGATGTTTTCATCCTATTTTTTAATTACTTTTATACCCAGTCAGAACGATACTACCCGCATAAAGTGAAACCGACTTCCATTACACTCAAAGCAACGCAAAGACAGCGCCAGTAGTGTGACAATTTTTTTGAAAGTTGAAATAGGAGTGAATAAAGCAACATGTCTTCAAACAATTTATGAGCTTTATTTTTAAGGAGGATAGTTCACAATCTGTTTCAACCTTCCCCTGTCCTTAATCAATCTTTTCAATTTTGGTTTTGTCACCTCATCAAAAAGCTGTTAGTTAGTCATCCTCGAACGAATCCAACCTTGCAAAAGAAGCGACAAATTGCATGAAAAACATAATGCACACCATAAACATGAGGTCAGACATATGAAGCATTCATCTTTGCTGACACGATTAGCAGGACGGCAGTGAGACTGCCGCTCATACGTCAGTCTTTGTTTGACTTTAACATTCTTTTACGTCATGACACTTAACAGTGTTCTGCGGTCCGTGTAAAAATTGAATTATTAGCTTTTCAATTGCTCCAAAATCTCAAGCTAAAATAAAACAGATCAGATCTAATTTTAGGAAGCTATTTTAAAAGGTTTAGGATCAAGTTTGACGCAAACACGAACAGCAGAAGTCACTTCAAAATCTGTTTTTGCTCACTTTTTGTCCATTTGAACAGATAAAATAATAAACATAAAATGCAAATATTTTCACATTACTGACAGGAAACTGAAAGGTAAAACCAAAAGAAATAATTCTTGCGGCTTGCCTTTCGGTTAAAAGTGCTTTTAAATGTGATCTCCCAACTATTTAAGAGTTCATGGCCATCGATATTAACTTCTTAGGCTTCCGCTCTGCCGCCGCAGTGATGACAAAATTATTTCGTATCGCCATGGAACTGTCTACGACACGTTAATGATTTTCAAGCCGCTGGCAATGCTGGCAGCAGGAAATGAATCACATTTGTATTAAAACATTGCTTGTACATTGAACATCTACGCTTGTATTCCTTTCAAGTTTATGTGCTGCAGTGAATACAATAGCCATAAAAGACTGCGCAATAAATAGCTCATCTTGCATTTGGTATGCGCTTGATCTTTCTCAAGTGTATACAAAATATACAGATGTAAAATACGCCAATTAATCTGGATATTCCATAGAAAAATCTTAAGTACTGAATAGATGTACGGTTTGCCAGTATTGAAATGAGATAAGACTAATAAAAGGATTTCTTGAAGGAAGAAGTTTGCGATATCTTAACATTCAGCACGTAAAGCTGGACCACATACATGCAGTGATTATTTCCATCATTTAATTTGCGGTACGTACCTTCGATTTCTCCCGGCGTAAAGGACACTAAGGAAAATAGCAGAAGACTTAACATCGCTCTTGGACTTGGTGTGACATCGATGATGTCTGACGAACAACAAATTAAATTATCGTGGACTTTCGTCAACAACTAAATCGTCTTTGCTTAGATCGACGTTAACACGAGTGCTTTTCTCGACATAAGACATGCACACTCTGCCAAGGTTTGTTATTTTACAGCGATTGTCTCATTTGTTATTTGCAGTCTGGCTTCATTACGGTGAAGGTACGCAATGGGGTGAAACTTGATCTCCTTCCTCGAAGCTTCAAAAACTCTCAAGTATGTGTGACTTGTAATGCAGAGAATCGGCTGTTTTTCATTTCCTGTCTTCTCACACAAGTAATTATGCAAGTATAGCAGTTCTGCATGAACGAGCTTGGTTGTATGTAAATTCTTCAAAAAAGCTCCTAGGGGTAACATTAGTGGGATTATTAAATTCTTTCTTGGATTTTCAATTCAACGCTTTTAAGAACCGCAAGGCTGTTAGAACGAGTTAGTATGAGCTCCGTTATTCAAGATAATTAACAATGATATAATTGTTGAAAGAAGTTTGGCAATGAACATACACAAATAAAACTTTAAGCTTTTGGATTCTCTGCAACCAGCCTTTTTTGTTATTCCCTTTCTTCCAACGCATTTTTCTTTTTCTTTTTTTTTTCTTTTATTGTGTTAATTTTGTGGTACAGAGTTATTACACAGAGGTCTGCGGTAAAACTCCGCTTACTAAAATTGCCAAGGAGACTGGAAAACAATTCATGTACCGGAAGAGTTTCAGTTGGCGAACAGTAGAGAAGTTAAAAATGTACTTCGAGTTCTCGCTGTAATTACTAAGCTGCAGATAAGTCTCAAGCGGTTAATTATTTGACACCAGCTCATGTCTTCTCTAGGGAAGAAACTAGGAAGAGAGGGAGAGAAAATAACTTTAGTCAGTAGTCGTGCCCTAGAAGCTTCTCTTTGTTTGTTTTTTTTATTGTTATTATTATTGTTTTTCGGAGATAGTACTGCTTGAATGAACGAGTGAAAAAATTTGGTTATATCAAAGTTTGGTTGTTAGTTAGATATGTTTGTTTTTCATTTGGCGATCCAGCCGTTACATTCCATACACTAAGAGTTAACTTGGGTTTAGCCGCTGAATAATGCACCTAACAATTGGTATTAGACCTTGAGAGTAGATAGTAAAACCTGAAAAGTGGCGGTTGTCAGCGACATTTACTGACGTCGATTTCAGCGACCTGATCTTCAGACAAACTTTATTCAAACACCAATTATAACTTTTGGAGCCTCTCCAGGACATTTCTCATCCGCTTGATTAAACCGTGTCATGAAATAATAAATTATTTAAATGTTGCTCTTTCTTTCATTACGCTAGCGTTAGAAGCCACGGAAGCGCAAGGTGGCAAAGTCATTGGTGACCAATTCCTTAGCGAAGAAAGTTTTCGAATGAGACAACGAAGCTAAACTTAGAAGTGAACCTTTGTGTTGAATCATCACAGCTATCATTTGAGAATCGTTTGAAGGACTTCGAAAAACTTCCTTGCATGGAGGAAAACCCTAACACAAACCATTTCCAGAGTAAAAAGACAATAACGAGACAAGAATAGAAACAAGGAACAAGCTTCAGGGCTGAAAAGATTATCTAAGACTGCAAATAAAGAGTTAAAAACATTAGGTTGAATTTTACAAGAGATGGGAACTTTAACGAGGCTCTTCCGCTATTAACTGTAGAAGTCAGCTGTAGTTGTCGACAGAATTCGGCTGTTTCAAAAATTTGACTGGAGGTTGAAACTTTATCTGTAATCAATTAAAAGATGTACGACAAAATTTTGTATGAAATGATATGTATGTATACAGTTCCTCGGCGGAACTAGACCAAAACAGCTCTAATCAAAAGTACTGACGACTTGTAATAATTGTAGCCCAAGAACAGGTTCACTTCTCCAAGCTTTTCTCGTTCAGTCTGAAAAAAAAAACATTAGCTAACACACGAGAGGTTGAAATTAATATCGACAAGTATTAAGGGAAAGTTATTCTCTGCTCCCTAGGGCCGTTAACAATAGGACAATAAGTGTTTTCTCGCAGACTTTAGGGTCAAGCGTTAAGGTCGTGAGAAGATGACGCCGATGTTTACGATGCGTGACCAAATTAATTGGAAAAAAATTCAAAAAATAAGCCAGCGGCAACTTAGCTTGCCAGAGCACCACGAAGGACAACATGGGATATGGTTTGAGCATGCGTAACCATACAACACGGAAACTTGCAATTAGTTCCGATGGCATTCGTTCACACCTCGATACGGACGAATCACCGTTAGGAAAGTATTTTGTTTCCAGACACCTTCTCTAATGTTTATAATCGTTTTAAATTATACGGTACGTGAGAACTTCATTATTGATTTTTTTACGATTATGAAACATACTTGTGCTTGGTTGGCAAAATCTAATTAGTGTTCCCATGAATCATTCATTTGAAGTTCAAATACTGACGAAAGTTCAGGCCTCCCAAAAACTCTAACTCTTGACTTTTACTGGATTGAAGAAGATCGTGGGTTGATTTTAGCTCGATTGTCGCATATGGAGAGATGTCGACACAAGCGTGGAGGAGGAGAAAGTCTGAATCCCAAAGTGGATTGAATACTCTTCCACTGAGCTAAAATGACCTCGCCAGTCATTCAGACCACGAGCAATACGGGATGCTTTAGCGATCCTCCCATTTCGTAAGAGAACGTTCAGCCTAAAGGCAGACGCCTACATTTAAATGAAAAAAAGAGAAGCCAGACCAGTGTACTAGCGAGAAGATTCCGTTCGTTTGTTGTTTATTGACAGGTGATAGAGAGAAAACAAAAAACATCTAGCTTTACCAAAGTACTGCACAAATTACCTTTTTCCGCTTACTCCATGAATAAAAAGGCAACAGCGAAAAAAAATGCAAAAGCGTAACACTTTGACTGACTATCGAACAGACCGTCTGTAAAAATACCCAGGTAACAGTTAGATGCAACCATGGTTCTTCTCAAACTTTTTGATCGTGTAGCAATGCCTTTTAGCTTAGGAAAACCTTTATCGACAGTCTGCACCATTCCATTCTCTTCCATAGTAACCATGGAAATGTTATGTGGAACTCCTAGATTCATGAAGAGTTGATTGCCTTTTATAGAAGTCGCTTTTTTCTCATGAAAGATGCTTGTCCTGTAATTCTCTTCAATAACGTGTACTTGTCTGTCTTCTTCGAACAATTGCGCTCTCGACTTTTCATACGTGGAAAGGTCATTAAACTGCGTCAGTACTTACAGATTAATACACACGACATAAGTGACATTTTAAAAAGGTTCCCAGTCACCACCAGCCGACAAGAAGGACAAGAGATCTATGAAGTTTTATTATATTACTCTTCTTATACACAACTAGGCCATAGTAGTTTGTTATCCCAGTTGCTAATTACATGATAACTGCCAGAAAAAGAAGTCTTATTTTTAGAAGAAGATACAAGATCTCCTGGAGATTATTACTTCTGCAATAACGATAAAACTTTAATTATCGTGAAAATAGTTATTGAAATACAACACGCTGTGATTTGCGTGTCTTAAGTGAAATTACATTGCAATTGCTTTTGAAAAAGAAAACTCTTTTTTTTTTCTATTTTTGACCCAAAATATAAAACTGCCGATTAAATTGATAGTCGGTGAGTCTGGATGATATTTAATTAAAAAAAATCAAGGAAACACGTCATAGTTGTCCATCCCTTATCAGTAGATCTGCAGAATTCTTTTTTCTTATGTGTTTGGGTGTGGGTGTGTGTGTAATGCTTCAGTCTTTACAGTGTACCTTATCTTTAGGGCATGATTTTCACACCTGTCACAATCGCAGTTTTGATCCATGTTCATGTTTTTCAGTTTAGATGAAAAAACGCTTTTTGTAATAATTACCCCGTTGGGTTTTTTTAACATCATGACACTCGACAATTTTCAAACTCCAAAACACAGGTTCTTCAGCATGAAATAACGATAACAAAAATTTCGATCGAACAACATCACAGCAACTTTTAATATATCATTACACTACACCTGAAATTTAGAATAAATAACCGATCGCGTTTTCGTTACATCACATCAAGAAGAGAGGCCACGTTTTCTCTCTAAAATACTGTTTACTAGCGTTGCTGTTAATCTTCGTCAGGTTTTCGAGCCATTTCGCTTAACATAGGTCTAAATGCATCGTGGAGTTAAGCCGAGGGAAGTGAAAGGGGAATTCAGCTCTCTTCACTGAAGGCAAGAGAGCGTGGTAAGTCGACGTACTGCACACACACACACACACGAGCACATTGCGGACCTATTTGATACCAAAAAAACTCTGAATCAGTGCAAACCAGCAGACGTAGAGTCTTTCGCCTTGAGGGTGGACTGAACACATTAAGACAAAGCTGGCTGATAAGAGGTTTATAACATCGATCGTGATGTGACGATAAGAAGCAAAGGTTTTAACAATTTAAATGAAAAGAGTCCCTGCAGAGAGCGTGCGTATTAAATAATGAATTGTAAAATCAATTACTGACCGCAATTTTTTAGGTGAAAAAACCAATTTCGTTCCGTCTCAAAAGATTTTTCTCCAACTTTCAGAAACAATTTGGTCTAACACGTCTTGAATTAAAGATCCAATTTGTGGCGTCCTCTCGTACTCGGCTCCAAATTGTCCATTCATTATTCCGATATGTAAACAGCCATCCTGCATATGTCTTTTCTTGACAAAACTGAGTTGCTCTTTTTATAATATGCATTAGCAAGACAGCTATGAATTACACTAAAATCCCATCTGAAATGCTTCTTAGCGGCCTGTCAAAAGGCCGATAATTTTTTATACGGAAGGAATCGATCATCAAGCTGTGGGAGTTTTTTCGCCCATCTTGTTTATATTTGGAAACGCTTTTTGGCAGCATTTTCAATATGTTAAGCAATAACATTTTGCTTTAATATACTAAAATCTGGAGTAAATACTTGCTTTGTGTTTCCTTTTCTTGAAAATTTAAAAAATGAAACTGAGAAAACTTACCACCTATAATGTCAAATAAAACTCGATGAAAACGGAAGTGGTATGCTTGATCCGGTTCAAAGAGCAACCCTTGAATTTTGGCTTTTTCCTGACATTAATTTATTCGCGGAATGAAGAAAAAATCACTTAAACCTAATTGAAGCGAGCTTCTAAAAACACAGCAGATACGCAGTCGATTCGAGAGGTCGTAAACACTTCTTGAAATGCGAAGATTGAAAGAGAGTTAAAGTAGTGTTCCTTGTTGTAAATGTTGGTTTAAGAAAGGTTGAATTAATAACTGACAGCACCCGTTGTTGACTTTTGGAAATGTTCGTAAAAGATTGATGTAGGTTCATAACACAAAGTATGTAAATTTACAGAGCCGTGTAAAAAGGCGAGATTAACTTAGGGATGTGTTCCTAAATTTGAATTCTTATACTTGCTCGAGCTGGAATCCTCTTTTGTTGGCTAGATCAGAAGTGTGGCCGGTACCAACTCTAACCGAGGCATTCTGTAACCCAAAGCTTGACTACTTTCCACTCATTTTTCTTGGCCGTTTCTGTTGTGCACCCAAGAACTTCTCCTCGTTACTATTTACTCTGGAAAGTATTAAGTGTTATGTATTATGAAAAGGCAGCAGAGGTAACAGAACATTGTTTAGGGGTTCGCCAATTGCTGTTCAGTGTCGACCTGCTATCCATCTACTCGTTTATCGGGTTTTCCTTCTGCTAATTCATCGTTTGTTTTAGCTTGCAGTTTCTCGGAGGAATTCTTGGAGCTTTTCTTAAGGCTAGAACTCGAACTTCTTCTTCTTTCGATGAGAAGGGAACCTCTTTGTCGTTCTTTGGTGCTGCGCCTGCCAAAGGAAGACGAACTCCGTCGAAATGTTGTCAGGCTGAGCCCTTCCGTGGTATCAGTACAACATCCGTCCGTGTTGCAACGCAAGAGTTGCTTAAAATCGCGACGAAAATCCGAGTTCGTGACAGAGTAGATAATGGGGTTAGCAGAAGCGTTGGTAACCAGTAAAAGAACGAAGAAACGGAAGGCAATCGCAGTGTGTATAGAGCCTCTTATTCTGATAAATGATCCGATCAAGTGCAGAAAATTGAAGGGTGCCATGCAAACTGCGAATACGACGACGACAGGAGCCAGAAGACGCAAAGCACGACGGTTTTGCGTAATCCTAGAGGCAGTCTCTTTATGAGACACAGTTTCATGTGCTTTAAAGCTTGAGCGACGGTAGCTGTCATGTTTGCGAATGCTATCTTTTAGTTTAGTTCGGATACGAATGTACGTTAGCGAGATAATACTCAAAGGTGCGAAGTAAAAAAAAATTGTAATTGTTGTGTAGTACATCTGTTGAGCTAACTTGGTGGGCCATAATGGCTCACACACCCGTATTCCTGTGAACGGCATTTTTCTCAGCTCCATGACGAAAAATAACGGCATTACAACGATGAAGAATGAGAGAAGCCAGATAAAGAACAGTACTCGCTTAGCTGTTTGCACACTCATTTGCGGTTTCATGCAGTGAACCAGCATTCTGTAGCGATGGAGTGCAATGGCCGTAATGCATCCGATTCCAACGCCATAGAAAATATCTGTGAACGGCTGGAATGTTTTGCAAAGGAACTCTCCAAAAGGCCAAGAGATACTGAATTCCTTGCTGATCCACATAGGGAAGCTTATAAAAAGAACACCCAAATCAGCGATGGCCAAATTTAGAATGAAACGATTGCCAACGATCTTCAAGTTCCTCTTTCGCGATGCAACGATGCACACGAGAACATTTCCGACAGTTCCCACAAGAAAGACAACAATCTGTAACGCAAGTATGATCATTCTGACTTTGTCGAACATTGGCCACCGTGCAAAACTATTCGATTCTGAAGAATTTGTAGAGTTTCCGAACGAGGCTGAATTTGTTGCATTTGATTCCAAAACCATGGCGCCGTTCGATTTGCAATGAAATATTCTAACAGCTTCCAGGCAGATGCAGCTCCAGTTGTTCCAGATATCTATGTGTTGTCACTGTTGGGTTTGCTAGTCGTTTATGTGGGGTTAACTTGTTTAGATGCGAAGTTTATATAGCCACGGATATCACGGAATCTTCCGTGGTTTGATTGTCAGTTTTATCCCTTTCTTATTTGCTGAATTTTGAATTAATCTCTGTCACATGGAGAAATCACCTCCGCTCAGATGTTTCATGAGATACGATGAATTAGATCGCTTAAAATTCAGGAAATATCATTTACCTTCACTGAGCTTGTATCCTGTTAAGTTAAAGATTTTTAGGAAATCTGAAGCGAATTAAAAAAATTTAAAAATCTATTTCAATCTAACCTTTCGAAGCGATCTGCCAATGTGGCACTCAGGTTACTAAAGTTAAAAAAAGGGGACTGATATATATTTGGAATTCGCTCTCGTCCGACGCCCCCGGCTGATTTATTTTATTCTATTGGCCTAAAACGCCGCGTTGTGAAAATCTGTCAAATAACTGTTATTTTAGGCGCCGTAATGACCAGAACAGGTGAAAACAGAAAAATATTCCTTCAATTTGTGGCCGGTCAAATGTACTTGCACAGCACGCACATGAAAAACGTTTCCAATTGAGAAAATAAACGTCTATTCGCTTGTTCTTATGGGCCTCCTAGAACAAATAAATTATTATTTACGAATTCAGCTTAAGTTTGAGTTTCCGGAAACGACAAAAATGCACCTCGTGTTCTTTCTCTCCAGCTTTGATCCTCTTTGTTTCATGCTAAAGTGATTTGTATGTAAAAATATCTCGGGCAATTTTTTATCAAATACATGCATACATGCAAAACTTTTACAAACACACTTTTTTAAATTCAATTTCCAGATTATCAGTGTTACATTAGCTGACTTGCAAATAGCCATAGCTAGTCTAACTCGCCTGTTTTTCCCAAAACGGAAGTAATTGGGAACATTACAGGAGAAATAATATCCACCAGAACTTTCTATGTTTTCCCAAACGCCTTTTCTTGTTATCTGGGGTGGATCTGAAAGTTTTATTGTTCGTGAGTTTCTGATCCTGAGAGGTCTCAATTCTCGACTTTAGTTTTGGTGTTGAAAGCAGTTAATTGATAATAACTTATTTCAGCGTTGAATCCAATACAAACAAAGGGTTTAAGCGACCCTTTCACAATGAAAGGTCGCTGGAGTTTGGCGTCTCTGAATAAATTCAAACACCTTATTCACGCACCGCATTGTTGTTGTTCGCCGGTTCACTTTTTCCCCCGTAATCGTCGGCAAGAACGTCGCCTGAACTGAGCACTTGCAAATTATCTTGTACGAATGACGTGTGTTTCGATGTGTCTGTTTCAATTCACCCTCGACCCTTGCGAGTAATGATTTACCTGAGGTCTCCCCTTAAAAAAATATCAGTACATGTAACTATACATACAACAAAGATGGGATCAGAATATTGTCACTCATCAGCTAAAGAGATATTACCTCTATGCAACAAATTTCTCTCACTAACTGATGAAGAAATGTGTCGCAGTGAGTCGAACTGCATCTTCAAGCGGTTCAAAACTGATCCTGAAGCGGATGAAACTAATGTCAAACACAACTAGCAGCAACTCTGGGCCATTTATTTCACATGGATATGAATTACAGTTTCCTTTGAAGAGCAAAATGTGGTAAAATTGCGAAATGTCTTGGAGTTTGCTGGAAAGGGAACAATGGAAAGAGCCATTTCAGTTAAATTGAGGAAAAAGGAAATGAAATCTGCGCAATAAAACTCGCGAAAATAAGATGCTTACTTTGGACGCGCAGTTGGATACGTTAGCCGGTACACAATGACGTAAACCCTAAATCAAAGCCTATTAGTTCATGAGCACTAACTTAAGGCGCAGTTTTAGGCGGCGAAAAATGGATCTCAAAATTTTTTGAAAACTGGATTACGAGATATGCATTATTTTTTTAATCATTGTTAGCTGTACACCATCTTGACACTGTTCGCAAATATCAACTTTCACGGATATAACGTTTTGGTAGATTGAAGATGGTCTTGTACGCAATTTTAATAGCAACACTGGGCTTGGTTTGATTAACCGGCTAGAAAAAAGAAAATTCGAAACTAGCGAGCTCTGCTCCTTTCAGCAAGCCTTTTTTTTAATCAAAACATATAATTTAAGAATACATAAAGGAGAAAACAGCTAAATAATATATGCAAAAGAAATAGGGGATTTTCACCAACATAAAGTTCGTTCTCTCTTTTTGCTCCATCGTGTATTTTTGCTTTATTCCTGTCAACAAAGCCAATTAACGACGAGCGTAAAAAATGGAAAGATAAAATGTGACTACATGTATTTTTAAAATATACCTAAACTATGTGAGAGCCCACATAACTCGCACATAAACCGAACGCAGTGAGTTCCTTCCTAAAGATTTTGACATGGGAATTATAATTCGCTTGTGGCATGCGATAAAAATAGTTCTTAAGGACAAATAATGACGGTCAGTAAATAAAGTAACAGGACGCGAGTAATTATTGCTCTTAAAATAGCTTTTATCGAGCCATCTCTTCTAATACCGCTTTCATACAACTTCCACAACAAGAGGAACATGGAGTTTTCAGTAATGATGAAAACCGAACACAAGGTGCCATTTTTGCTTTATTCCTTATCAACAAAGCCAAATAACGACGAGCATAAAAAATGAAAAGATAAAATGTGAATATACGTATTAAGTTTTAAAATGTGAGGATACCTAAACTGTGTGAGGGCCCACATAACTCGCACATAAATCGAACGCAGTGAGTTCCTTCCCAGAGACTTTGACATAAGAACTAGAATTCGCCATTGGCATGCGATAAAAATAGTTCGCTATAAGGAATAATTATGTCGGTAGGTACAGTAACAGGACAGAAGTAACTATTGCTCTTAAAATAGGTTTTATCGTGCCATTTTAAAAATCCATGGGTAAAGTAAAATTCGTTTTTTATCGTAAATTGGGGATAGCAAAGCAGGACATAGGCCATCATAATGCTCAGTTCCTTTAGACTGTTAGATTGATAAGCTTAAAAATACTGATCAGCAAGTTTGGAAGGAATTCGTTATTCTCCAACCGATAGACGAAATATCTTAATTCCCACTTGGTTAACTTGGTCTTATTTAACATGAAAAATAATATTCCATTCCTTTATTCTGTGCATTCACTTTATTTTGGAAAATAATTATTTGAAAGGTGTGATGGGTAGAATGGGTCAGCATCGTGTTATTTGTTTTTTTCTTTTTCAACACCGAACGCAACTCACACTTTTTCTACAATATCAAAATTTTTTGTTTTCCTCAAAAGCACCAAGGCTTAACAAGGGGTATTACAATATTACAAAATTTAACTCATACCAACAGACACCCAAACAACACACAAATTGTAGTAATAGCGCGTTTAACTTACAAATTTAGGGATACATCATTTAGAACAATGAAACAATGGCTACCGAAAAGCGGTTAGTATTAACTATAAACGTTTGTACCTTGCGGATAAAAGCACAGTTGATTTCGTAATTTACAGACTCAATACCTTACAATACAAATTCAGTTTCCTTACACCGCTGCTCGATGACCAAATTTCTTCTAGAATATTACCAGCAGAGTGAAGGAGGACGTTGCGTTGAGCGGCATACCTTGAGCAAGAATCTTCTTTAAATACAAGAAAAGGGGGTTACTGATTCGGAGTCAAGACCGCACTCATAAAGAGGCGATGCACAACTGTTAATTAATTTCAAAGAAACATTCTCTGAGACAAGGAAACCTAAGTCTAAGGCGGGTGTGATCAACAGATGTACGCCTTGTAAAAGAGCAGTCATATAAATAATTGTAAGTATGCGGAAAGAGAATTGACCGAATTTTCGCTCTAAAACTGGGAAGAGATACAGAGTTTTAGACATCTAAGTCCAGAGAATTCCAGCTAGTGATTGCGGATGGAAAAAAGGACTTTTTAAATCTAGGGGTTCTCAAAGGAAATTGCATTAAGTTTACTCTTGATCTGAGACTAAAATGTGTACGTTCACTTTAGATTGTTTGAGAAACAGTTCAGTTGAATGACGTGGAGCAAGATCCTTGGCAATATCCTGTAAAATTAGCTTAAGTCAACATTTAACTTGCAGAGCTGATTTCCTTAATGGCTCCCGTTACTACCCTTGCGGCTTCATATTGAACAGTATTCAGAAAAGCTGAATCACAATTACGACAGTTGTTCCAGATAACATCTTCGTATTCCATGAGTTGTCTAATCAGGCTTTTGTACAAACATCTTAACGTGGATCTATCAACTTTTTATTGGACATATTTCAGTAAATTTAACCATTTAGAAGCTTTCTTGTACATCTTAACTATATGATATCTCCACGACAGAATTACTCTGCAAAGTTAAGCCTAAGTGAATGTGAGAACCAACGTCTTTGACGAACCTGGTGTCAAGAAATAGAGGGGTGATCTTGTTTCATACTTACCAACCATTTTTCAGCCCAGTTGGAGATCTTCTTAAATCAGAATTTCAAACAGTGTAGTATCATGGGCATAAATCAAAGGAGGAGAGGTGAGAACATCAGAAGTATCGTTGACTCTTGAGGGACTCCAGAGTTGACTGTTTGCTAAAAAGAGGATTATCCTTCTATAACTACCAGCTCGTTCGGTTAAGCAAATAATTTTCAAACCATTGAAGGGCGGTTGTATTCCTAAAGCCTCTAACTTACGCAACAAACCAGCATGCTACACCTTATCAAATGCTTGGCCTATATTCAGGAAAACAGCACGAACCTCTCTATCACTCTCTAAGGCTTCATACCTTGTGTAAAAAGAAAATCAGCTGGTTAATCGCTGAATCACCAGGCCTAATTTACAGGCGCACTTTCCTATCCATCCATAGTTTATCCTGAGCACGTGTTGTTACTGTTTTCTGTGGATTTTACTTCTCAATAATCAAACGGATATTGCCATTTACCCCCTTGAATATATTTCATCTATGTCTCTAGTATTCACACTAATAGATCCTGTCAAATTCCAATAGTTCTCTGTTCATATTTGTAGTGTTGACGTTATTAAAATTCTTCACCTGCCTTTTGTAAGATCGACTTCTGTAAGCGGAAATATTCATATTTGCGAAGATAACAGAATGGTCACAATTGAAAGGGAAACTTAAAGTCCCAGAAGAACTAAAACACCCGAGGCAATTTGTGATGATTAAATCAAGTATCGTCGAACTGTAACAGGGGACAAGAGTTGGCTCCGCTATTAGCTGAACCAAGCTGTTACTCTCTACGAAAGTGAACAATTAATGTAAGGAGGTCACTGAGTTCACTGGTATGTCACCTGGTGTGTTTGATCAAATACGGAGAGGACATCGATGCATTAAAATTAACGAACAAGTCAAGAAGGGCCGTTATCTACTGCCTGGAGGAAGGAGGGAGGGGTCAGTGGATTTTGGTTGGGTATCGATAAAAGTGGCAGTTAAGTGACATTCAATTTTCTATAGTCTTCGCCCCTTCCCCCGCGCGTGCGCTATGTATTCTGTTGGCCACGACTGTTCCCCCCTCCGTTCCCCATGAAAACCATATGATCCCTCCCAAAATCCTCAGATCCCCCTCCCGTCCCCCCTCCGTCCCTAACCGAAAGACAATCACTGGTCCCTCGCTCGTCATTCATGGTTCACCGCGCGCGACTCCGCTTTTTGTCTTTGGGTGATGACCAGAGGGACGCAGGCTCAAATTGAGACACAGCATGGCTATCCTCCGATCTGACCCAAATTGGATAATATCGAGTATTTATTACCGGTATCGGCTCATCTTTAATAATGAAATGGTTACTTTTGCTTCAGTTGTCGGTTTCAAACTCTGAAAGCATCAAAATAAGCACTCTCTCGGATTTCTGAATAAAAAAAATTAAACACAATTATAAATGTGAACGATATCAAAGCGTCTTTTCTCTAGTAACTTAAGTTGTATTAACTTGGATTTTTTACATTTTACCCCATTTCTCTCAATGAGGATTATTTTGCCAGGAGATAATTACTTGAGTCTGTCGGGCGCCAATCTTAATACCGGAAACAGTCCATTAACATGATTAAGGCTCCTATGTCGGTTGTTGTGGGAAAGGACAGAACGTGACAACCTCACCTAATAGAAAGAGAGCTCGAAATGCATCACGTGTAGTTACATTATATGAAATATGTGAGCCGACAACGTTTTCTTTCGCAGGTTACTGGGATGCAAAATAATAACAAAGCACTGTTTTATAGATATGGGTTGCCTTGACCCTGTGAGAGTTATTTCATTTAAATTTCATTTCCGTTAGTCACTCATTGTTTATTTCTCATATATCATTAAGACATTGTTTTCCGGTTCCGTGACAGAAAAGTTGGGTGGGCCACACGACGATAAACATTTGGTGGGTAAAATTACCAGTAAAGGGAAGATGATAGCCATCCCTGAGAAAGAATTATACTCCTCATACGCATCGCTTGGCATAGTTGTTAAGCTGTAAATAGTTTGAACAAAGGAGTAAAAAATGATCGTGACCGTACGATCAAAAGCCATCATATTAAGCTTTCTCTGGATGACTTTGAGCTAAAATCGAGGAGCACTAGTGACGAGTTTTCAGAATATCTATACCGCATCTAAGTTACAAATTTTGTTTTTCTCTCAAGTCGCCGGTGGGCCAGACCGTATGATAATCACCTACCAATACGTTCATAACATTTGAGCAATTTGTCCAAAGTCTCCTGCAAAGCTGACTAGCTGATGTTTGATGAAGTTTGTGAAGTACGTGCTGAGAGCTGTAGAAATGATCTTGTTCTTGAGAATATTAGGCATAGCTGTCGCAGTTTGCGATATTTTTAGTATTGGCCATAAGACTTATTGTCTTTCTGTTTATAACTTTAGCCCGTCCCAATAAATGATATCCGAAATACCGCTTCTTCCGACATTCGATCCGGGACACTTCAAAAGGGTATCACAAGTGCAAATATTGCGAAATGGTAAGGATTGCGAAAAATCAGGCGTTGGTAGAACAGCTCAATGAGACAAATTTTGCCTTTACCTATGGAATCTATGCGTTCTGTGAAAAAACTAACTTGTGGACATGTGGCTAAAAAGATAACAAATCTCAGTAAATTTCGAGTGATTGAATTAAGTGCAATTGAAGGCCTCTCACAATAACCACGTTAGTAATATAAACCTGACCACCCGCGCGGGCTGACTCGATCAAGTTCGAACAGTCTCACTTCACATACCACTGTCCTCTTTGTAAAAAACATTCGATGTATTCATATGACCGCAAGATTGGCTGGTTCGGTTCCCAAGATCTTCGTAATTACAACTGCGATCTCGATAATCGGGCTGTTAATTTTTCCTGGATAGAAATTGAAAGCTCAGTTTTAGAAAGCAGTTGCTGGGTCGAAAAAAATAGTTCTCTAACCGGGCTGAAATTTCCCATATGAACAAAAAGGCAAAGTTCCTTCAGCTCACCCGTTTCGCTTTTGCTAGTTGACCTGAC